ACGGAAAAAAAAAAAAAAAAAAAAAAAAAAAAAAAAAAAATTTTGGCTTTTTGTTTCTTTAAGATTTTTTTATTCTTATTTCTTAGTTTACAGCTTTTACTTGGTTTTAAGTCTTTTAGAATCATTTAGCATCACATTTTAATCTTTTATTCTCCCTTCCCTTCCTTTTTCATGCCCTCACTTTCTTACCTTTTCTCTTATTTATCTGTCAATCAATCTAGTTCAAATGATGACTTCTAAGCACATTGAAATTAAGAGAGCTTCTTTGCCCCAGACCCCTTCCTGCCAGCTGCCACCATACCTACACTTTTCTTTTCATTAATGTTGTTTTTGACACAGAGTTCTATGCAATCTTTATTTTCATATTGTATGGTTTAAAATCCATAGTCTCTAGCTGTTTTAATTAATTTCTTCTGGTTGAAAAGAACAAATCCATTCCAATGACCTCGAGTGATAGACATTTTACTGTAATGAATATAAAAATAAGGAAACTGGAATCTCAGCCACTATGTGGGCCAGGTACCCTGCCAGTCCTATGGGAAGTCTTCAGGAAGAGCTGGAACTCTTGTGGAGTTGGGCCTCACAGACACTAGAACCCAAAAAATTTTTTAAAGTTCGGAAGCAAATGCAATATCAATGTGGGAATCTTTATTGCATACCTTGTTAATACACGAAACCTAACTAAATCCTGACTTCAAAGATAAGAAGAGAATTGTATGGACATCCAGGAATAAGAAGCGTGCCACCCAGAAGGGAAACAGCTGTCATGTTCAGATAGCCCCAGATTCCTCCAAAGCAATATTCATTACAGAAGACAGAGGAGCAAGTTTATATGAAGGGTCTTCAAAAGTTCATGGAAAGATTTGTATTATCTTTTAATTCTATTTTTCCATGAACTTTTTGAATTACCCTTGTAACTGTTGCTACTCAAAAGTGTGGCCCATGAACCAGCAGCACTGGCATCACTTGGGAGCTTATTAGAAATGCAGAATCTCAGTCACCGCTCCAGATCTATTAAAGCAGAATTTGCATTTTGACCAGATGTACGGATGATTCCTATGCATATTAAAGTTTGAACAGCACCAGTCTATACAGTTCTGTGGGAAAGAATAATGGGATGCAATTTTTAAAATCCATTCAAGGAGTTCCTCTAGTATAAAGATAACAAATTAACATTCTCAAATCTGAAAAAACTAAAGCAGGGCTTCTCGACCCCGGCTGTTTCTTTGACCTTTGCTTGCAACTTTCTTTGGTCTTTTTTGGCTTAAAAGAGCCTGTTTATGTAATTTCTTTGAGATTGGAGGTATTCATTTGCACACCAGAATCACTCGAGGAATTTTTTTTTAGAATTCTGTTGCATGGATCTTACACTCAGAGAACCTAATTGAATCAGTCTGGTATGATGCTCAGAAGTCAGTAGTTTTTCAGAAGCTCCCAAGGTCATTACAATATGCAGCCAAGGTTGAGAATCATGGAACCAAGGAAAACTAAGTCCATGAAATTTTCTTGAAAAAATAGCTGAAAGATAGACACCAGACAACATAGAAATGAATCAAAATGAAAAACTCAGGAATGAAGAAGCTGTAGCAAAAGGAAATAAATGAATCTGTTTAGAAACAAACCACAACTAAACTGGGAATTTTGGTTAAAGAATATAATAATTGGGGCTTTAGAAGGCAAATATACTGTTGTGTACCCCCTAAACTTCTATTTATGGTTGGTGAACTCTATCACTAAATCTGTTATTTTCTGGGTTTTGTTTGTTTGTTTGTTTACATCATCAGTTCTCTGGTTTTCAAATTACAGATTCTTGCTCCATGGCTTTCCCTCAGCTAGGAGACTTAATGGAAATGGTGGTGACTTACCTTGCCAGGCTGCTCTCAAACTGGGTTTCTAAAAGGGAGCCAGGAATATAGAATAGGGGAAAGCTAGGGAAAGCCTTGTGCTATTGGATTGGAATTAGAGGTATCGGCATGAACTCATGATTATATTTGTACAATCTGCACAGCTCCCAGCTCTCTGGGGCCCTGCCTTGCAGATTCCAACACTTCAACTGTCCCAACCTCTGAGCTCTTCCTCCTCAGCTGGGTTCCGGATTGCCACACTGCAGTTGGGAAAATTTCCCCAGGAAGAGAGCCAGGATTATCATGAGGCTCACCTCTTAAGTTTCCTTGCCTTGAGGGATTGATTGCAGTCTTGTGTCACCTACTCTGTCTGCATGGTGTTGCTTATTCACCCGTGTCTGAAAAAACCTGCCTTAGATATTTTGTCAAGTTCTACGGTTAAGGCAAGAGGGCTACTACCAGATATTCCGTGAAAGACCGAAGTGGAAGTGCTGGGCTATATATTTGATAATAGTATCATATTAGTGTTAAATTTTCTGAAATTGATCATTGTACTATGGTTATGAAAGAACACCTCATTCTTAGGATATACATGATGAAGTATTTGGGATAATGGGTTGTGATGTCTGCAATTTTCTCTCAAATGGTTCATTCAAAATAATATGCATAGCAATAGTTTGTATATGTATATTTGTAGAGGCAGCAAGAAAGAGATATTGATAAAGCATATATGGAAAATGTTATCAGTGGTGAATCTACTGAGGGGTATATGAGAATTCATTGTACATTTTTGTAACTTTTCTGTAAGTTTGAATTTTTTTCAAAATAACAGATAAACAAAGCATCCCATTGAGTGTGGACAGAACTTAGTGACTCACTTCCAAAGCTTAGTGTATGGAGAGAAAAAAATATTAACTTTACAGTGGAGAAAGCTGGCAGACACCACCTTAACCAAGTGGTCAAAGTTAATATCAACAGCGATAGGTCGTGTGATATCACACACCCACATGAAAGGGCATTTCATCTCTGTGGTCTTCTCACTCAAACTATAGAACTAGTGGGTGTCACCAATATGCCTTTCCTTAAATATCATTTTAAATTGGGTAAATATTAGCCATTTCATCTTATTTCTACCTAGATAAGTAGCAACTGTCTCTAGAGAAAGTAGATTTTATTCTAATTTTATAGTCCAGAGAAATTGATGACATTTTTATAATGCAGTGCTTTTTATTTTTATGTATCATCCTGTTTTAACACAAATGCCAATGTTACTGCTAGAGAAAGTAGATTTTATTCTAATTTTATAGTCCAGAGAAATTGATGACATTTTTATAATACAGTGCTTTTTATTTTTATGTATCATCCTGTTTTAACACAAATGCCAATGTTACTGAATGGATGCCAGGCACAAGATCTGAAGAAGGAAGAAGGAGGAAAGCCATAAAGTGTGAGAGGGACTCGACCTGTCTGGCTTTGAAGATGGAGGAAGGGGGCCATTGCTGAGGAACGTGGGAAGCCTCTAGAACTTGGGAACAGCCTTACGCTGACAGACAGCAAGGAAACAGGTACCTCAGTCCTATAACGGGTCCTACCCTCAAGCCTTCAGAATGGAACACAGACTGCCACCTTGATTTTAGTTTGATGTGACCATTCTGATTCTCTGACCTATAGAATTATAAGATAATGAATTATAAGATAAGGGTTTTGTTTTATGCCGCATGAAGTATATATGGGAATTCATCCTATATACACTAAGCCACCAAGTTTGTGATAATTTGTTATGGCTGCAATAGAAAACTAATACACTGAGAAGGTGAAATTTCAGCAAAGACTTGAAGGAGGTGAGAGAGGGCGCCATGAGGAGATCTGGGGAAAGAGCGTTTCCAGGCACAGAGATCAGCAAGTGCAAAGGCCCTGAGTTGTGAGCATGTGTGGCATGTCCGAGGACCGGTTAGGAGGCCAGAGTGCCTAATATACAGTGAGCAAGGAAGAGATTCATAGACCAGGACGTCAGAGCAGGCAGGTTACCTTCCGACTGGCTGCATTTCCTAGACAGCCACTGTCACCTTTCCCAGCTGAGAAATTAGGCACTCAGCCCACTATCCCCCACTACCTAACTCCGTTCATGCAAGCAGTAGTTTTGGAGCATCTTCATTGTTTGGCTACTTCACAAATAATGTCCACTGTCATAGAGTTGGCCTGACTAGACGTCCCCAGGTTACCCCGTTTCCAGGAGCTGGTTTTCAGACCTGAGAAGCTGGCTTGCCCTGGCTCTGGCCACTTTGAAAGTCAGCATGGCTCTATTCCTTTATAACCAGTAATCTTTCTGACACCTACCTTTCAAAGATTAGGATTCCTGAAAAGTTGGTTGTGGCAAGAACCCTGATGTGCTGGCTTTCCTTGTAGGATTTAGCATCAGCCTGCAAGACAGGAGGAATTTTTGATACTCAACTCCCTGCCTTTGTGGCTGTCATCATTTTATCTTTCTGGCTGTTGAGAATATATATTTTGGCAGACATAGAGATGAACTGGCCATCTTTACATCTGTCAAGTTCCAAAGCACTGTTACCAAGCTTCAGAGGCCACATGTCAGTAAATTTTTCCTTTCAATTCTGAGTCTACGATAACTGGATGTGATTTATCTCAACGTTGACAGTTTCCGCCCAAGGTACGTGTGGTTGGTTTGGAGTGAATGACCCCTCTTTCCCCTCGTGGTAGGAGAATATGTGCTCGCCAGCTTGCACAGAGAACAGAGTAACTGAAGCAGAACAGGACAAAAGGAATGTCTCCCAATTTCTATTTTTGAATTGTTCCCGAAGTCCCCACTTGGAATACTTCCGGTGTACTTACATTTACTGTTTCTGTTCTTGATGTTGATGTCAAGGGTGACTTATTGGATCCTGGTTAATTATTAATTATTCCAAATATCCTCAGTGCCTAGCACCATGCCAGGCTGTCAGTAAATATTTTAAAAATTCATTCATTCAACTCATAAAATGAATGGTCCTTTTACAGTTTTTGTCTTCAACATTGGAAATAGGTGAAATTTGGTGGTGCTGACAATTATTATGTATTTGAGAAAAGCACTGCATTGCTTTGTACTTCACGGGTTGAAAATATTTTTGAGGAAGTTTTATCTCGTGGTAATACTATACGTTTATTAAAAATTGATAGTAAATTAAGTAGAGGAAATTAAATAAATTTAAAAGTGAGCCCATAGGGATAAACTAATGAAACATTTTATCATGTTTTGTAACTGGAAAAAAAAATTCTCCTAGATGAATAATTCAGTCCACTGTAGGGGGTTAAATATGGTAAAATGGGTATAAGTAACTGATCCCAGTTACTCTCTTCTTCCTTTAGTAGCTGGGGCCTCTGTGTGATTACAGACATCAACTGAGCTCTCAAAACTTCCTTGTGATTCCTGCCAGTGTTATGAGACCAGGCAACACAGTGTCTCAAGCAAGACCAATTCAATGAAATAAACTTTGACAAGAGATCTATATGCATTATTTCCTTTCTTACACTGCATAGTCTCCTATAGATTCAGCTACCCTCCCATTCCCAGACCTTCTGAAATCCATAATAAGCCACAAGTTATTAGATAAAAATGGTGGAATAAGTCTGCAAATGACATTTTCCCCCAAATGCAGAGGCATTTGTCCTTTGGGAGTATATTTGTCAGCTTCGGCTGCTATAACAAAATAACGTAAATACCATTAATAGCATAAATGGGTAGCTTAAACAGCAAGCAGTTATTTCTCACAGTTCTAAAGGATGGAAGTGCAAGATCAGGGTGCAGCATGGTTGGGTTCTTGGTGAGGGCCCTCGCCTGGGTTGCAGACTGCTGACTTTGCATCGTATCCTCACATGGCGGAAAGAGGGTGAGCCAGCTCTCTGGCCTCTTCTTATAGGGGTGATACCCATTCATGAAGGCTCCACCCTCTTAACCTAATTATCTCTCAAATGCCCTACCTGCAAACACCATCACATTGGGGATGAGATTTCAACATATGAAATTTTGGGAGACACAAATATTCAGTCCATAACTGTCGGGCCTCTCTGAGCCAGAGGCCGACAAAACCGAGCGGGAAGAGACCCCGGTCCAGCCGGGGGTCCCTTGTGGGGCTGAGCGGGATGATGAGTGTCGCTGGCACGGCCCTTCCCCCCCAGGATCTTCCTCCCCGGGGGCCGAGAAAGAACACCACCGAGCCAGGAGAGTGGTCAAAGCCGGAACTCCGTTTATTAGAGAGGTGTTGGAGTTTATATAGAGGAAGAAAGCGGATTTATCAAAACTTTAGAAAATTTAAGTCACGTGAACTTGAAAAAATACTTATTTATTTAATGAGCGCGCATTAATTATAAGCCAATTAGGTACCTTGCACATAAAACAATTACATAAACAGACATGAACATATAGACATGACATACAGCTTACGCACGCATATATGCAGACATAAACAACAAGAACAAACAAGGATCTTATAAGTTTTGTTTAAGATGTATAAGTTTTGTTTAAGATGTAAATAAAGCTTATTAGTAAAAAGGACAGTCAGGTTTAGATTGCGGGTTTTTTTTTTTTAAAAGACTTACTGGTGAGGCCTCACCCTGCCTTAAGGAAAGCAAGATAACAAATTTACATTGTAAAGCAAAGTATGCAAGCCTTTTCAAGAAGATGGAGAGATTTTCTTAAAATACCAAGTGGATGCGAGAAAATTTGAGATCATCTAATTAAACAGGTAAATCTTAGTCTATATTTTTGTTTCTCAAATGAGTTACTGAGCTCAAGAGCTGAGAAATGAAATCATTTGACTCTTGAGGTTTCAAGGAGAAGAGCAGGAGACCCAAAAGGGGTCTGTTTGGCCATGGGTGCTTTTCTTCATAAAACTCCAGAGTCTTCAGAGAAAAAGAGTAGCACATGCAGTAAGAACCACTGCTTTTAAGAGAGGAAAGAAGCATCATGCAGATAAGAAAGAAAAACATGATCAAACTTGAATTCTTTCTGGAGCCACCTTAAAGCCAAGAAAACTGCAAATCAAAAATCAATTGAATTGTCAGGTTGGGGAGGAGATTGACGGCATAAAGACTATCAGAGAAAAGGTTAAGGGGGCCTTCTACCACC